TAAAAAGAATAGGCATAATTTTGAAGTTGTTACTAAATTTAGTTTTAAATTTGCTGTTACCATGAATGCAATCTCATGATTTCCAAGTAAGTATGGCAGTTATTTTGTAAGACGAATTACAGTGAGTGTGGATTTAAGTCTTAAACACTGAGTATGTTTGTATGTATATTATTTTCAGAATTTGGTTTAAAAAATTGTGAACATAGGGTAACAGCATTTAAAAATATTTCAAAGAAATTGTGATGTAAGAGGAAGTTTGTGATTGGTTAAAAAGCTTTTTCTCTGAGAAGGCTTTTTCTTTGTAGGTCCTAGGTAAATTTGGATGTATAGTGGAAGACTTTTCTATTTGCTTTTCATTAAGATAACAATGCTAAGTGAGGTTATCTGTTGTCAAAGCTTTAGCTGCATTGCCTGGACTGCAGGTCCAGTTAGAAGGGATTTCTTTTCATGTCATCACAAGCTATCAAGCCAGCGTCAGCACTGTAAAGTTTTTGTGTATTCTTATCTTACTGAAGTCTCCACTATGGCTGCTAGTCTGGGAACAAAGCTCTTAAGTAAATTAAAAGGTAGGAGAAAAAGGAAAATTATTTGTCACCTCCCTTTTCTTAAGTTCTTCTCAACGCTTCCCACTTCCATTTTAGTAAAACTGAAAAACAGTTAAGGGACTTGCCTGCAGAATCAGGGTTAAGCAAAGATCTAATATGCCAGATTCAAACCAAAATAATTAGAGGAAAGATTATTTCAACTTGTGATAGCTCAGGTGTTTTTCATTTATTCTTACTGACATATAAAACTGGGGAGCATTCATTTCAGCTTTAACATTGTACCTGCAGTGACATCTAAGCTTTGCAAAATTTTTTTCTGTTTTTTTTTTTTTTAACCCCTTCAAATGAATTTAAAATGTAGTGTTAAGTATTTTTTTTGAATGAAATCCTAAAGTGTTTATTTTGACAGTATTGAATGCAGATTTTTCCCCCTAAAATAGACTCATCATTTTCCTCCTCCAAAGTCTTTCACAGAGGTTAATATAAATGTGCAAATTAAACCAATCCTGTCTATAATCCTCAAAGCACTGTGAAGCAAACAAGCAGACCAGTGACAATGAGGGCTATCTAAACAAAAGCAGAAAACACAGTACTGTAGAAATATTCAAAACCCATCGATGTTCTTTGTGAATTTAAGAACAGTTCTGCTTACCACCTCCACCCAAGCAAATCATATAGGGAAACTTTGTGGTGGATTGAAGTCCTGAGTTTAAGGAGGTCAAATGCTGTAATACATTGGTCTTTACAATTACAATGAAGGCACACACACATTGTAAAAGAAGATAACATGGACCTAGTTTTCACTGATGGTATCTAATTGTTTGAGGACTTTGGAATTGCTTCTTTGGATCTACATTGTGTCTGAGACTGTTTAAATTACTCTCACATGCCGTCTAATGGCCCTAAGTGGAAATTAAGTTGTATCTCAGTTAATAGGTATAATTATTGGCAATACATGTATCTGCACTTGAGGCTTAACCAAAATTTGATATGTCTAGCAGTCAGGCTTGGGCTCAGCCTTATGGTTACTTTGTGGATGGTCACATGAGAGATGGACTCTTTTTCCTTTCTGACAATTTTGACTACTATTAAAATTTCCAACAATATGTGTATGGCTTATAGTACAGAAATATGCACACACAAACCTACACACACACATGCTCATTGATCTCATAGGCTTATGGCAGTTGTTATTTTGCTATGATGGTCTGGGAAAGAATTGTTGATAGAGGGAGAGAGTACATAATAATTCAAGAGAAAAATATTCCTGCTCTTCCTCCTATTCCTACCTCCTGTGAGATAGTAACACTGACTACTATGACACTATTATCTTCACCTTTTCTGTCAGTTTGTATCCAGCAACAACTTCTGTGGACTACGTTGAAAAGAGGAGTTAGGAGCCTAATACAGATCTCTGTCAATAAGCCAGGTACCTATATATCCAAAACTGTTATCCTGGAAACACCATCCACATCATTTGGAAGCACCTAGACAATCCTGGGCACCTTGGGTACTGAAGGAACATCTGAAGGTTACCCAGGTACAAGAAAAAGACAGGGAAATTAGGCACCTTTCCAAAGGCTTTATCCTGACTGGTGTCCAAGGGCTGTGTAAGCACAGACAGCAAAGTCTGACCCTCATCAACATTTGGCACCCACATCTCTCCTATTCAAAGGGTAGATGCTTGTAGCAAGAGATTTATTCTTTTTCTGTTCTCTCTTTAGCATCCTTCTTTCCTGTGCCTTTATGGTAGTGTATCTGAACAGCCTGTACCTGGGAGGTTAAAGCACTCATATGGCAGAAGAATCTTGTGGGTAAAGGATGGGAACTTGCATTTTAAAGAAATACTGTAATCCTTGCTCTGAGCTTTCAAGAGCATTGCAAGGTGGTGAGTGAATGTAGTGCCCAGCTCTAGCCTGCCAGGCAAGCTCCAGAAAGGATAAGGAGGCCTGTCACAGCTTCATGCCCAATGGTTTTAGTGAGTAATTTTGTCTTTTGATCAACCTATAGTCTTTACTTCAATGACTGATGGTGCCTGGGCAACCTAGTGCCTTGTATTTCATTTATTTGGCCGGGCTCTTATAGTGAGGTGTTGCCACACATGATTTTGCAGGTTATTTTGCAACTGTGTCATTTACAGCTTGGTTAGGTGAGGATTCAGGCCTCCTATTAGTCAGGAAGCAAAGTGCTTGTCTTTGTAGACATCAAAATAACAAAACTATCAAGTTTGAGTAGACTGTAATATCTCATACAGACTAAGTTAACCTCCAGCCTTAAAATTGATTCTAATGCTTCTGTGATAGATATATATGTATGTATATAAAAATAATACAATAATTTGCAAGTTTGTCAGGCAATGAAATTTAGTATATTTTGACACACTCATCCAGTAACTAATCAGTTTTCTAATAAACAATCAGCAGTACACTAATGTGTCATCAGCACTTCAGGAGCTCTGGAGAGTGGATGATCTGCACATAGACGTTAATGAATACCCAAAAAATCATTAAGCAATCAATACTTCTGAGTTATTTTCATTGAGCTGATAGGTCTGATACATTAAAGCTGACATTTTACATTTGTCAAGATCACAGTGCAGTTTTTAACAGTGGAACAGGATGCTAAAAATATTCCATGAAAGACAATCAAAGAAACACAACTTAAAAGTGTTGACGTTTTAGACTGGGACAGTAACCTGGATGAATGACTCTGTAATGTCTGTGCTAAATATTCCTGAAGCAGAACTTTATTACTAAAAATTAGTAATGTGAAGAACACCTACAATTATGCATATGTGTAAATATCTTTCTTTCTTTTTATTATAAGCAGCTAGATCAGTTACACGTCACAATTCACTTTCTATCATTCACATCAGGAGAGAGAGAAAGATTAATATGAATTAGAGTCCTTTTTTTCTTCACTTGTCCTTTGAAGGTGAAGAAGAAATTTTTGTGATACTTTTATGATAATCTTCTTTGAAGATAAAGCATCACACAATACTATTAAATCAAAGATGGCTCTTGGAGAAAACACAATACAAGAAGAATATGCTGCATCCATATTTGTGACTCAACAATAACCCCTCTCCTATCCCTTCCAAAATTCAATTACTTTGTTCATTTATTCACACATTAATTTTTTTTGCAGATTTTGATTCTCTAACAGAGGACAGGGTAGAAAGATAAGTGAACATAAAAGACAGTGAAGCAAACACTGGTGACTGTTATGAGTTCTTGCTCAATCCATAGATTTCTGAAATAGTGTGGATGTTGTCGGGTAATTAAATAACCACTAACTCTGTGTGCCTATTTAAAATGAACCCCACTAACATAGTCGGATCAGATGAACAAAGAGTTTTCTCCTGTTCTAGAACTGAATGATTATTGCTTTGTGATTTCTCATCCTCCAATAGGCAATTGTGGTTTTTAAATTAGCAGAAGGTGAAATTCTATTTGTCATCAATTTCTCTTAGGTGTTACAGAGCAGAAAACTGCAGACAAGCTTCTTCTTTGATGGCTCACTCCTAAAAATCTCTTTTTGTTCTTTATCTATTTGAACTGACAGTGATCAGAGCTACAGCAGGACAGGCCTCTCTGGAGAAATCACCTTCCCCCTGTCTATTGACAGATTCCTCTGTTCTGAATCAGACAGGCCTTGTCCCATCATAGGCATCAAGGCCTTGGAAGTAGCCACCAATTAAACCTCTTGAGCCAGTAAAATCTGAAGCCACTTTTGAGTGTCTGTTCTGATTAGGCAGGATGTGACAAAGCCCATCACCCACCTCCCAGAGCAGTTCCCTGGTCTCAATTTTCTCTCTTGCCTTCACCAGGTGCGAGAGGTGTGAGAGGAGCTTCACACAAGCTACCCAGCTGAGTCGACACCAGAGGATGCCCAATGAGTGCAAGCCAATAACAGAGAGCACAGAATCAATTGAAGTGGATTAACTGATTGACTGGTTGGAATTAAACTGCAAGGAAAGTCATGATTAAATGTCACGGACACTTAAGCAAAACCAAAGATTTCCTCTGAGCAACTTTCAATCAGTCCCAGAAAACCAAAAGCAGTAATAAAATAAGTAAGATGTTAAGAGATATTGATCCTGGCATGGAAGTGAGACCAGGAAAGAGATTATTTATTTATGACTAGGGATGAGTCTTATTTCAATTGACAAGTTACTTGGGGCTGTTAACATTTCAAGTCCCTCCATGTATTGCTTTAATTCTAAAAGCCTTTATAATTGTTATTTAATGCCAAAGTGAGGAATCTCAAGGGTTACTCTGCTCATAGTTATGACCGAGAATGCACATGGACTTGTTTATTGTTGCACCTTTTTTTGTAGCATGACTCAAAGGACCCAGATATAATCTGTACATTTGGCTGGGCTGGGCTAAGTTGATCTTGACATGGTTGTAATAGAAATTGCTGTGTGGGATGGGAAGTGATCAAGAGCTATACCTGGGTCAGTGTCAGCCACCTCAGACCAAAGGGCATTTCATTTCCATATCTCATGCCTCACACTGTGCACTTTTTCATGCAAGTACTTTGCATTGGCATTGGCATGGATATCCTGGGGGGAAATAAAAAGACAAGAAAAGGAAAAAAAAGGAAGAAAAACAAGCAATGTTGTATATCTGCAAATACACATTATATAAAGAAACAAGTAGGAAAACTGTGTTAAACTAATAGAGCTTTCAAATTCAGTCTAATTGCTATGAAAGACAAAGAGGTGATAGAAAGTATTTTAAACATTTAAGATTCAAGTCTACATGTAAATCATATTATGAGGAGCAAAACACCAAGAAGACATTTTTTATTTGGGTGATGGATTTAATGTCATGCTGATTTCTAGGAAATCTGATCAGAAATCCAAGCTGTAGTCCACTGATATTTTTGTTCTGTTGGTTTGGATCAAATTGGAAATGCTCCTGTATCAGATGAAGCTTTAAATATAGCTGGGCTGAGTTTCAAAACAAAAGGTAAATCTGAACTCAGATACTATGTAAATTTCTTGGAGGCTTCATAGTATTCACTTAATGGAAATTTGCCTGGTACAGTGAATGAAAGAAAGCCAAAATATTCCCAACATCAATGTAAAAAGCTCAGATGTCACTACATTGATTTGATCTACTTTTATTTGTGCTTTTATCCGTGATGTATTTCAGATTTCATGATTTTGTCTAATGAAAGTATGTTTTTCACTTCTAGAGACCAGCAGTGAGCAGTTTGTTTATGTATTGATTGTCTCAATGCTAGAGCTGTAGATTGATAAAAATGTAAAAAAAAAAAAAAAAAAAAAAAAAAAAAAAACCCCACCCCCCCACACAAAAAAAAAAAAAAAAAAAAAAGAAAAAAAAAAAAATAAAATAAAAAAAAAAAACCACCATCACCAAGAAGCAAAACCTAAACAGTTCTGAGGTCATGCTATATCATAAGGTAAAAACTGCAAAATAAAATTGTGGAGATTATGGGGATTAAAACAGAATAATTCAGTTTTGCACCAAAACTGAAGTGCTGACTGGCTCATAAGGGCTCAGTTGATTATATTAAGTATTTTAAACGCATTTATGGGGATGATTTTAAATATGTAGAGAATTAAGTATCCAGTTCTGTAAAGGGCTAGACAGAATCAGCTTCAAATTTAATACCAGATTCAGACCATTTATGAATTCTGCAGAGAGATCAAGCAGAAAAAGAGCCTGCAGTAAAATTCAAATGCATTTAGAAGGAGTTTAAAAGCTAAGACATCCTTACTGCGTGAGGTTCATTTATTATATTACAAAAACTACACTGCAGAATCTGGAGTTTGCAAAGCTTTGCAGGGAATTACTTTGGAAGTATCTGTGTTTGGCTATGAAAAATTTAAAAAACATTGTGGGAGGAAAAAAAGATTTTTTTATCCTTGTTCTAGAGAGTACCAACTTATCTCATAAAGAAGCTTCATTCCTGTGAGTTTCCAGCTCTGTTTCTCAGTGCAGAGATATGGGGTGTAAGCGATTCTGTCATCACTTGCCTGATTTTATCCTCAAAACTATGAGAAACTCTTAGCTACTATATAAATGTGTTTGTTTGTTTGTTTGTTGTAGGTTCAAAGAAGCATGGGAAGCTGGGTAGGAAGATTTGTAACTTAAAAGGTGTCTATCTGAACACTGTTTTGTTCCTAGCAAGGCTAATGAAACAGAAGAAACCAAAATCGGATCCTAAACCTTTCAGACGCTCATGCCTTGTAGTTCACATCTTCCCTTATTTAAGTGACTTAATCTAAAGTACACATTCTGGTGGGGCACCAACTTTTAGTTAACATTTGAACAGTACCTGTAGATCATTTCTGCAAGCAAATAGTTTAAAGAGATAAAAAGAGAGTAGGAATTAATAAATAGACTAAGAAAGAAAATGTCATGCTCTGAGAAGCAGCTATGTTAGATAAGTGACTTGTGCTGTTGCATCACCTAACTGTGCCCTTGTATTCAAGGAAGTGGTTAGTGGCAGTGCAGAGCAATCCACCTCGTGCAGAAAGGGATTTGTAGTTAAATCCTGCAGTGCAAATAGTATGTAAGTATGTGCTTACAGATATTGCAAGTTCCCTGCTGACTACAGATAGGCTTACTTGTATATTTTTTATTTAAACATGTGTCTAAATACTCTCCTGAATGAGTGTGAAGTAAAGATCAATTATTTCAAGATTTTACTGGATTTGTTTTTAAAAATGCACTAGAGTAGTATGTCTGCAGAACTTATTTTTTTCTTCCAAATAATTCTTTCTTGTATAAATCACTATGTTGTGCCATGTGCCTAAGCACAATTTCAATTATTGCATTATTTTATACATGGCATTTTCACAACAGATTTGGCAGCATAGAAAAGCAATACAGTGAAAACCCATGATTTCATAGTGGGATTATCTTGAATACAATGTTTGGCATTCTGTTACAATATAGCAAATGTAAAACTAACATGAAGAAACTAATGCATCCCAGGTTTGTACTAAAGGGAATCCAGTTCCTACCTGAACTTCCCAAATGCTGAGTGAGTTTCAGTTCATGTACTGACGGAAGAAATGTACATTTAGATCTATTATGCATACAGTATGTGTTTGCACACAGTAAACTGAAGCAGTAAGTGTAGTACAATTATCTTTACATGTAGTGATTATGTGCCTGCCATTTTAGAATTTCTGAAGCACTTGGCATCTCTGTTTTGTAGTCTGCTAAAAAAATCAAGCTTTTGGTTTTGGGATTTATTTTTTTTCATCCAACTCCGAACATGTTGGAAGTCATATTTAAAAATTGTGCCTAGTTCTGATTTTTTTTTCAGTGTGGAATTAAATTTTATACATTCATACAGTTATGCCTTTCAGAAATCCTTTAGGTCCTTTATAAACCTGCAGTTATAGCCCCTAAATATGACAGTTTTTAATACAATTTTATTTTCTTCCCATGAAAGAAAACTGAGTGGCGAATAATGTAATAATTTCAGCATATTACATACTAGAAACTTACAAGCAATGATGTGTATATCTTTTTGTTTGGGTAACATCATCTCTCCTTTAAATTAATATTTATTTTTGTATTGTGCCATTGCATTATGTGATGCTGTCTTATAGCTGAAAAAATGATGTTATTTCAAACAAATAAATAGGTGAATGTCTGAAAGTAAGTCCTCATTGCTTTTGAGAGTCATCAGTTGCTATGATTTTTTTAGAAATTACAATTAAAACACTATTCTGTTCCATCCAAGTCCTTACTGTATATAGGATTCCAGAAAACAAAATATTCTGGGATTGCATGAAATTTATTTTTTTTCTCTAGATTTTGGAAGTTTTAACATCATCAAGCTAGTCTGAAAAATTACATAAATCCACTCTATAGATGTAGAGTATGTTGAAGGGGTCCTGTGTTGTAATAAAAATACTAATAACACTGTAATTAGAAAGATAAACAAATGCTTGCATTTGTTAAACTTCATAAAATTCATCTTTTTTACTGCCAAGGACCAACTAAGTCATGCATGTAACTGTATTCTTGTGATATCAATTGTAAAGATTGCATTGTGTTTAAATGAAAATAACAGGCACACATTTAAAAAAAAGATGAAGAAATGTAAATATATTTGTTTAATAAAACATTTCTATTACTGTACTCTAAGCCTTTGTCTTATGTTAATATTAGATATGGAATTTTGTGCACGCTGTGCAGAAAAACAGATAGTCTATGTGATTAAAGCAGCCTCAAATAATCACTGTGCCTTGCTGCAGTTGTCATTATTGGTTTCCAAAAGATTTTTGCCACTTGGAAGTTGCAAACTCTTTTGCAACAAGAAAAGACTGAGATCAAGTTCAGTTTTCTTGTTCACTGGGTGTCACTACTTCTGTTGATGTAATGCTGAGGGCACAGTGCAGTCATATCCTCAACAATCATTTGGAATTCACTGGTATAGGTTATGATGTAAATCGTGTCATATTGTAACCAAGTCTTTCTATTCTGTGTACTCAAGTGTGGGGCCTTTTTATGGTTGATGGCCTGAGTCTTTTTTAGTTATCTGAATCCTAATTTAAAAGGATCACCATCTAGTGGACTAAGACAGAATTTCAAAGTTCCAGCTGGTGTGATCTTCGAGCTCATTCTTTAAAAGTCACTCTAAAATCCAAGCTAAAAGCAATAATTATGCTCCACTGCAAGGGACCTTCAATGCCTTTTTTGGCATTATTTCACTGCCATTGTGTATGTCGAAGAGCAGTGATTAGTTCACTAAGTCACCCCTTGTTCCACTTGAAAAAATATCACTTAAGTATCAGAAAAATATTTCAGCTTCTATAATTTTTCATGCTATATGACCTTTACCATAGCACAAGAACCACCATGGTAGAATAATTGTGCAAAACTACCGTACTTGAGAAAATACTCAGGTAAATGGACCAGCAGACTGCCTGCTGGTTTGCAAGTAGCAGGGATAGTCAATCATTTGAGCCAAGCTTCTATACATCCAAGAAAAGTTCTTTATAACAAGAAATTGTATTGAGTCATGCTGTATGAGATTATATCACCAAACCCACATAATTTGTCATGAGCTAATGAGACACAAACGTCTAAAGGGGGTGGTGGGTGGAGGAGTCCTTTGGCTGATGGCCCAAACTATGATGTAAAAGAGTCCTGGGGCCACCGTTTTGAAACTCTTTGGGTACATGGTTTAGAAGAGGTGAGGCTCAGGTCTGCTAATATTTTTCTTCTAATCCATTTACTGAACTTTTTTAGCTGGGCTAAGGACTAGGAGTGTGCTGCTTCTTTACTTTTGTCTCTGAATATGATTACTGAAATACAGGGAGGAATCAATGCTGTATTAAAGTGCCAAAGACCAGCAGAACAAAATAGCATCAGTCTTATTGTTTGGCTGTTGTTTTTTATCCAAACAAAGTGGACACTTGCTCCCAAACAAATACACAAGAGATCAGCAGTGTCCAAGTCACTGCACACCCTGTTTAGGTAGCCTCCTTGGCATCACACAGAATCTACCAGTTAAAACAAGTCCAGTGACTTCTTAACACCCAAAACCCCCACAAACTCAAGCTACACTTGAATGGATGGCACACATGTTGAAGCAGCACTCTGACCTCCACATACTGAGTGTTGATTCTCACAGCCTCAGACATCTTTAGCTACTTGCTAAAGGACAGTCAGTAAAACAGTTTGACAGCAAACTGGGACAATCTCACGTTCCATGGTTGCCGGGGATCTGATAGCCCTTTGGATTAGACCAATATAATGTGGGGTGCTTAACACACCCAGTTGCCTGGTGAAATCTGAATCTCTTGCATAGGTGTAAAACAAACTAAGACCACAGATATCCAAACACAGCCACAGGAGGTTTCCTATCCATGTAAGTGAGGACATCAGTAAACTAATGGTATAGGAGACCTAGATAACCAAATATGATGGGAACTGGTCCAAGGACATGGGGAGGGAAGAGGAACATATAGTCTATCTCAAAATGGATCCAAATCTTTGCACTCAACTCAGTATGCCTCATCTCTGAAGAAAGCATTGACAAATCTTAATTTTTTAAGAACTATTTTTATTACAGATAACATAATGTTAGAGACATCCCAGTCTTGAAAAGCCACATCAGTGAAGTCTGGGTTATCCATTGTAGCCATAGTTGGATCACTCTGTCTTTCTCTCCAGTGTCATCTTCTCCACCAACCACAGCAGATGAATGTTACCAATACTTCTCAATGGATTTAAACTTTTTCCAGTCTTCAGTCTTCTCTCCCCTCCCATCTTGTCATAATTCTCATACATCATACTTCTATTTTTCTCTTCCCCTCTGACATTATTGCATTCAATCATTCTCCTCATCTCTAGAGTTTCTCCAAATAAGTTTGCAAATGACCAAGGAAGGGACTTGTATTTGTTTATATTGGCACAACAAGTCACAGAAATACATTTTTTTTATAATCTGAGCCTCAATAGAATGAGTCAAACTATAACAGTCATGGAGAGTTTTCAACCTGGAATTTGTTTTTTTCTTTTTTAAGGGAGCCAAGAACATTTCAGCACACACACTACTAGGGGTCAAATATTTTTCTGGAAGCTATTTGGCTTTTTTTTTCATTAGTCTTATATTGGAACAATTGTTTTTTGTATTTCCCATGGCATAAAAGGTAGTTAGATACGCAGTAAACTAAAATTTTCATAAAAAATATTTTCTAGCAAGTAAAAAAGAGCATGATAAAAACATACACTGAGCCGTAGTTGTAATGTCTGTATGTTTGTCTGAGTCTCCCTTCATTTTCAAGTTTTTGTTTTGTTTTTTTTCCTTTAAAACATAGAAAGCCAATTTCTTCTGCTTATGCATAAAATCTTCAGGAATGGGGATAATATATTGCTGTAACACAGCACCATATTTCTGCTCAATGAAGTACTGCAGTAGTGTCTGTTCAGTCAGTGATAAGAACACCATGTAACTCCCATCTCAGTTTTTGAAATAGCTTACATGACGAAGATGTATGTTCCATGAATAGGGAGGCAGATACAATGGTAACCAGTATCTGATTATTAATATCAGTTTGTTTAGCTTGTTTTTATATAAAACACTCATGATAGAAAGGAGTCTGCACTGTTCTTTGTTGAGAGGTAAGCAGATAGGGGAAGTTTAAGCTCTGAAGGAAATTTAGAAGCATATTGTGTCTGCCTTCCATCTTAGTAGTTTTCCTTTGCTCTTATTGTAATAGTAGAGCTCATAGAGAAAGATCTTTCATGTATGCATTAGCAATACAGATTGGCTAGATTGTTTTTCATTTTTCTGTCCTAGAATTTGCTTCTAGAAAAGTAAAGGGCTTGCTTGAAGTGGAAAAAAAAAAAAAAAAAAAGAGAGAAATATCTTCCATAAATTTTAAGGGAAAAAATGCTAAAAATCTCTTCATAAAATGGACTGCTTTGTGCATGATTCCTCTGCTTCAAGAGCTCATTTTCATCTAAAAAGTATTTTGAGAGTTGCTTCCTGTCTAGATCTAATTACTAGAGCGAAAAATCATGAACATTTGTATACTGTGAATCATGATTCTCCATAGAGTCTATTGGCTGGCTCTTCTGTGTAAACTTCTAAGTAATATTGTTGATTTTAAAATTATTGCTTTACTTTTTACTGTGGCAGATAAAATAATTTATCTCTTTCAGTCTTCCATGGTCATGTGGCCTTAATTCACCCCAGTACCTTAATGAAGGTACTGCATTGTTCATATGATATGTATTAACAAGTTATACTGTCGATTATGGAAGAATTTTAAGCCATGTGCAGCTTTTCTTTTCCATCTCCTTTGTTTGCCAGTACCTTTCTAGTTTAGGATTTTCCTGTGTCAAATAAGGTTGCTGGCTATCTCCCTTTCTACCAACAGCCTAAGTACAGGGAGTCTTTGCCCACAAAACCCCATGGCAGTCTCATGAATACTTGAATATGCTTCTAGATTGCCTTCAGACATAAAAATTCCCAGATCTGCTTCTAGTCCAGTACAGGACAGGATAGCTTCCTTTCTATTATTATCTCATTGACTAAAACCAAAGCAAACAATCTCAAGGTAATGATCCAGATGTTGGTTTTGATTTCATCTGCCTAAATTTTCTCCTCTATTACCATCTATTACCGTCATGGAAACCATGCATTTTAGAAATTGCAGAAAAGAAAGGGAATCTGCATCACTGTTTACTTATGGTTAATCTTCAGTTCTTTGTGCCTTAATTTAGTTTGTATCCCTCTCACCTTTAAATGTGTCATTAACAGCACAGGTAAAATCACAGGAACCAATACAAATTACCAGGCTGAATTATGATAAAAGCCTTAATAAAGTAGCACAGCAAATATATGCTAATATAGTAAAGCCATTAAAAAAATATAATTAATATTTATTATGGCAAAGAAAAGTTATCAGTATACTAGAATTTTTTTTAATCCATGCAGCTTTTACATATGTAGTAAATTAATAGTCAAAGTATCTTGGAGTGATGGCTTCATGTAAATTTTTTGAGGGGAAGCTGTTTTTCACAAAATACTCAACCTACTAAGTGAGACTGAGACAATGCAATCTATCCTCAAATCTGTCACAGCCATAGCTGTAGTCATTTAAAATAGCCAATCCAATCATCCAGCTCTTGATTGTTTGATGTTCTTTCTGGCTTTACACTTTTGATTAAGAGGCTCAGCAAAGAGGTGAAGTTGCAGAATAGCAAAGGGTTCCTTGACCTAAAGAACTTGAAGTCAGCAGGTCACTTATAGTGACTGTGATTTATTGAAGAATAAACACAGCCTCACCAAACCCTTTTCTTTCCTTACTGGCCTATTTTTGCTGGCATCATATTCTTCTTCAGAGGACACATGCAGAGATCCTACAGTAAAATTATTCAGTTTCGATATCAAATAAAAGGTATCTTAGATTTTGCCTAACTATAATCATGTATTTTAATAAACTGATCCTCAAAAATAGAAAAAACTAATAATAACAACTTATGCTACTGAAGAATGTCAGTATACTGTACTAAAACAAAGATAATGCTAGATCTCATTTCATTAAAAAATAAAACTTCAGCAATGAGTCTTTTCTGGAGAAAATCATGTGAAATTTTGATCTAAGAGTAAAGAGCATTTTTTCTTGGAATGAGGAAAGAGTAGCACTCCTTTTCAAGTTAAAATATCTCATTTTTTGGGGGGGTTGGCATAAAAGAGAAAACAAATGAAAGAAAAAAGCAGCAGGAAACTAAAGTTCTGATTGTTTAGAAATAAATGTTTTCACTACTTTAATTCTTGAAAATGTAGTATGATTTGTAGTGATTTTAAAAGATGGCTTTGAAGCACAAATAAATTAATCATACTTAACTAAAGATCTAGGCTAGATTTAAGAAATGATGATTTTTATACTTTTTTTGTCTATCAAATTTTTCTTAATAAGTCTCTCCTATAGCATATAGTCTTACTGATCTATGTAACTCACACATGACAAGTATAAGCTCTCTTCCTTGTGTAAGTACAGGTACACAAATAGGCATTCATTCTCATTCTCTCTCTCCCTAATCTTTATTAATTCTTTCTTCTTCAGAAGATCCAAACATTTAATAAATTATAAGAAAATGCAAATGTAAGAGAATAAAGGGATAGAGTTTAGTTTTCATAGAAAACAGAAGGGAGCTTTCTACCAGGAAATCTTACTGTCTAAATTTAATAAGCTTAATCAGAAGAACATGTATGTATCACACATAATTTTTTCATTAAAATTACTTTTCTGATAAGTGCTTCATTTGTCTCTGAGTTCAACAAACTGCATTTTCCCTTACATTAAATCAAGGTAATCTTCCACATGATAGATCATCTGACTGCTGTTCTTACACACAGTAGTACTTGGGACTTTTTGACAACTTTTACCCTACATTTAAAATTAAATGCTTCATAAAGGAATGAAAAATAAGCTTATTTTAACCAAAACCTTTCCAAAAGAGATGGATTACTCCTATTCTGCTCCAAGAGATTTCATCCAGCATATGCTGCCTCAGAGAGGGTGACTGTACCCTTGCTGCTCTGCTGCCCTGCTCTGAGGGCTCTGTGAGGACTCAGTAAGCTCTGATCCCTAACAGGGTGACAAGCTGGCTAGATTTTTTCCTAAATGTGAAACTTAGCAATTAAAAGCATGGGAAGAGAAAGACCACATACTACATTCTGTCCCAAACTTAACCACATTTAAAAAATATGTATACATACAGATAAACAAAGAATGTCTTTAAATACCAATTGTCTAACAAAGACAATCACATTTTCAGAAAGAAACTACAGGGTTTGGAAGATCAATCTTTCTGTTTATTTGTTTGCTTGCAAAGGTGTTTTAAATGAATGCAGCCTGATGTAGAAAGCTAGTAAGCTGAGGGCTGGTTCCACATTTTGCTCAGGGACTGGTGTTTTTTTCTGTGCCCACACATGTCACTTAAGATCTGCAGTGTCTGAGAGGAAATGTAGCCATGCCAGTTCTGGGACCACTTGAGTGACATAATTAATGTTCGTAATGCTCTTCCATGATACCCCTGTGTTTCCAAATGCTTAAAGGAGTAAATGATTTCTTTCCACTACAGCTCAAAGTGCCAGGAGGCAGGAGAAATTTAAACACAACTAAGATCAACATTGTGAG